CGATGCATCGATGTGTCTGATTAAAATCGATTATTTAAGTCATATGGCACATGTAGGTGAGGTGGAATTGACGATTTTACTATTGTGCAAATGACATGGTGGCATCACGTAATCATCATTACAATGGATCGAATTAATTAAACCGCACAAGCGACGCAACGATCTATCAATTCCCGAATCAAAACATCGGTCCTAAATCGAGACATTTAACGGAATCACCCGGCGTGGAGGAGGGGGGTTTGGGCGGTGTGAATAGTTTCACCGCTAATGACTACAACAGCTCTCATTAGTGTAAAATTGTGATTCACACAGATGCCACGCGTGTCCAATTACGGCCCTCATTGTTGTCCCAACGAGACGTTAATTGAGGGTGCGTGCGTGTTGCCGTCACGTGTTAACGTTCGGGGGAGCGGTGGCGCAGCGGTTGACTGCAGTGCGCTAGGAACCGGGCAACCGGGCAGCCTGGGTTGTGATATCCGTGGCGAGTGATATCTAAAACGGGTCGCAGGCCGACAAGTCGGCCCAGCGTTAAATGGGTAAGCCCCATGAGGTTGTTTTGTTGTTGTAAACATCAGCACTAGGGAGACAAAGGTGCCGGTGCCGTCCACAGTCATTCACATACCGTCCCCCTTCGTGAGCATTCCGCCTTTAATAGGTGCTCGCTAACAACACTGGCTCCCAAATCGCTTTACGTATAGGTAAGATTGGGGGGGGGAGGGGGGGGTTCTCTGTCGTTTTCAAGGCGAACTCTATATGGGGCAATTGCTCTCGCCGCGGTTGTACTGAAATCCCGCACCGGGAAAAGCGCTGAGTCCGGACTGGAGCGGCGTTTGCAATCGCGTTGAGTTCGGATGAAGGTGTATCGGTGTATTTATCTAACTGAGCGAATATCCAACTCTCTGTTCCCTCGATGCCGCCGCACGTGCTCATGCCCATCGACACTGCATCCCACGTGATAATTACAGTCATCTAACCAAACGTTTCCTCTCCCAAAAAGTAATTTAACATAAAATATACACATTTCTTAACCGAGGCCAAACATATCCACGCGTTTGTTTGGATTGTGAAAACGATCTCAAACGTGCGTTTGTATTGATTTAAGTCATTGTTATTATAAATTTGTTTTGATTAAAAAAAAAACCTATTTAAAGAGACCGTGTCACAGGAACGCGTCTCAAGAGGACGTCCACACGGGGAGACGGAGCGACGAAAGGAGGCTACGGCGGATTGTTACGTCGCACGAATGCCAGACGATGACCCATGGCGGCTTTTGGGAAAAGCCATTCGTCCAGCTGTGGATAGAGCCCGGCATGGCAAAGGGATTAAAGGGGGTTCGAGCCGGACGACGAGATGACGTCGCCGCGCAGTGACGTCACACGCAATGACGTTGCCGACGTTGCGTGTGACGTCATCGCCGAGAGGGATGAGGCTTAATAAAAAATGGAAAAACTCAAAAGACTCGCCAAATAAAACGGTGGCCTTAAAAATAAATCTATAATATGCGACGTTTCGGGCAATGGCCCTTCTTAATAACGCGTCAATATCGTCCCTGTTTGAGCTTTGGACAATCGTTTGGTCCATTTTCCCGGTTACCGACACAGTGAGCGCCTAGGCATAGCAGCTTAACTTGACGCATTTCGTTTATATGGGATCCTTCTTAACGAGTTGTATTGACCCCACCTTTACAGAGAAGACGCACTTACGAAGCTAATGATGCACGAACGCTGTCAAATTATCTTTTGGTAAGAGTGAAACAAAAACAAGCACATTTTTGCAGATTGTTCTTCAATGGCCAACACTCTATTCTTGTTAAAATCTACGTATGTATATTTATTTACACCAGATAACATATTATTCTTCGGTTATTTCGGTAAAGTCACGTAGCTAGAAGAAAAATTTGAAATAAAGTGAATTAATTGTTTTATTGTTTAGTTTTATTTTATTATTATTACTACTTTGTTTTCCATATACGTGACTTTACCTAAATAACCAAATAATATGAATTCCTGCAGTCACGAAAGTTTTAAGTCAAGCGATAACATATTAATATTGCTTATTTATATCAGACAAATGCCAGCAGCGTGCTTTGGCGCGCGGCGTGCGCATTTGGCAGATTAAATGATCAACGGGCGCAGTCGCAGCTTCAGAGTGGGAACCCTCCCCGTTTCCTCGACATGGACTCGTCCGCGGGCTACCTGGGCCGTGCCGCGCGCGCGGCTCCGGGCCAGTCGAGTCGCGTGCACGTGGGACGATACCAAGTGGGGCAGGGCAGAGGAGGTGTGGCGTACTCAGAAAATGATTAGTGAAATAATTTGGTTGATGCCTAAGTTTGGGCAGTGGTGCCCGAGCACGATTAACGACGACAACCAAACAAACAACCTCAAACGCATTCGTCAATAGCACTTTGGGCTTTAAAAATATAGATGTAATTTCGGGCAACGGGCCTTACATTACGCATGCGCTCTGAAGAAGGGCAATTGCATGAAACGTCGTCTACTTTGTACATATTTAAATAGTTTTTTTTTTAATTCACACACAATGTTATTGACGAATATGTTGATGGGGTTTTTTTTCTTCCCCCCTTTCAAAGCAATTATCGAAGCGCTGCGCGTCCCATCGCGAACGCGTCTCGACGTCGGGGGCAGCCGCAGCCGCAGCAGCAGCGAGGGAGCGAGCGGCGCTGTCGCCCACGGCACGAGTCGCTCGCCCTGCCCGAGCGTGTCGCGTTCTACCGCGCGGGTAGCGACGCGACAGGGGCTCACGTGCACGCTTCTACAGCAGAGAGTGGTGGTGGTGGGGGAGAGGCTGCCGCGAAGATCACTCCGCCACAAGCGATCCCGTCGCTTTTCCGCGTCGGCCGTCTCAATTTTTACGACCCCCAAAAAATCGTTGCATTTTATTTTTTGGGGGGGGGCAATGCACGATTTAAACAAAAACGCCACCACCCCCCCCGCCCCACGTGCCTCATTGGTTATCCTTTGCCCTTTAAAGCATCAGGCACGGTTCGCCAGCATTGCTGCAAGCAAGCACGACCCCCCCCCCCCTTGCTTGCTGATGAAAACAACGAATGGCGAAACCAACCGTTCCACGGATTGCCTCTGTTAAACCAACACTGCCGAACATATTCCACTCCCGTTAATAGGGCGCGCGCGCGTGGTCCGATGGAATGTGCGTTTAACAACAATAATGCACGTGTGCTTTGTTGTGTTACGTGGAGAGAGAGAGATGTGGGAAGGAGGCGTTGTGACTGCTTATTTATTCTGATCGGAAGGCTAGGCCAATGGCCCACACGTGTATTATGTACTGTATTTATTCTGTTCGCAGGCACTGTGAATGACTCATGCGGTGATTTTTTTTTGAATCCACAAAAACGGGTCAATTAAGCGTAAAACACGTGTTTTCTTTTTGCTGTGTTTGAGATGTTGATGCACTCACGACGTTTCAGTCGAGTAGCCTTAAAAAATACGAGAAAAATGATCAATCTCGCTATAGGAACGATGGGACAGCGACTACACAAATAATGCCGCTGTTTGTTGTGTATGTGTGTATAAATATCTGTCAACGAATACCAGACCTAGTTACACTATCAAAATGTAATAATTCGTTATCATTTCATTGACATAATACCCTTTGTATAAAAATTTGAATTATTCAAATTGATTATATTGTTTCACACCTAGACCCTTGACACAGGGTGCACGTTAACAGAATGAACAAACATGCTGAACAGCCGATGTACATACACTACAGGCGACACAATATATATAAAAACAAATACCATTAAAATAAAAAAAGACAAAAGGTCCACATTAGATCCTTCACAGACTGTTGGGGCAAGTGCTATGAGCCAGCAACGTATGAAGCTCGGCACGGCTGGTCAGTACCACGCCCGGCCGCCTTTGTCTTCCAAGTGGCGATGTTGACACACCGCACCAGGTACTCATTTGAGGCTGAGTCGACCTAGGTGAGGCCCAGGACCGGTTCAGATAATCGTCACTGGGTGTTGGCCGTGAGCGGGAATCGAACTCGCGTCGCCGGGTTCGTAGCGCGGCGTAGCGCTAACCGCTGCACCACCGCTCCCCACCATTAAAATAAAAAAAACACGCGATGCCTCCACGTCCCTCCTTTACATCTTCCCGTGACTGCCTCTCTACAAAGCACACACGCCCAATGTGTCCATCTGTGCGGCGTCCCGCGACGCGGTCGCATATCCAGACTCGCTACAAAATCCACGCTTGTCCTGCATACAATCCCAGCCGCTCTCAAACAGCTATACCCATCGGATTAAAGAGGCCTCAATCACGCCGTGTCGGTCATGCGGGGTGGGTAGTGGGGATTTGAACATACTTCACCACGGCTGGTCAGTGCTGGTTGCTGGTTGGGGTGGATGGGGGAAGGGGAGGCGTGCTCACAGGAACGATTCAGACACCACGTGCCACCGATGCTTGCCGACTCTTGTTAGCCGTGGTTAACATCCGTCGGGATGGTATTGTAGAAAATAATGCCACGCACATCGAATACCTGCTCAAAGACAAGGCACAGATCCCCCCCGTATAGCCTCAACAGGCGTTTGTGGCAAGTGCTGTTAGCGAGAAGCCCCTACGAAGGGCCGGCACGGTACACGAGCGGAGTGGGTGGCCAGCACCACGCCCGGCCGCCTTTGCCTCCCCAGTGCTAATGTTTTTTTTTCATACAGCACCAGGCACAACACTGCACTCGTCTGAGGCTGAGTCGGCCTAGTGGGAGGCCAGGGCACTGGCTCGGATAATCGTTCACCGGTGTTTGGCCGTGAAACGGGAATCGAACTCGTGTCTCTCTGCTGCGTTCGCAAACGCAGCTGGCGCGAACACCGCTCCGGACCCCCACCCACCCCATCCACCCCCGCAGCAGGGCACCTGCGACAGCTGATGCGATCGAATAGGCGGGGCTCGTGAGTTCTCCCTCCCGAATGGGAAAATGCGACGACTGATGAGGAGGAGGTGGAGGTGGCAGGGGCTTACCTGGCGGTGGCAGCAGGTAACACGGGCAGAGAGGGAAGTGCTCGGTGGCAGAGTTGCCACAGCAGCACGTGCGTGCCGCGTGTCCACGCGACTCACTCTGCTCGTCTCTTTCCGATCTCACAATCCCCCCCCCCACCACCACTCACCACCACCCACCCACCCACCCTCGCCCACCCCCTCGTGAGACACCGTCTCCTCCACCAACACCACCCCCCGCCTCCATTTTCCTATTTCTGACCCCTGAACCCAGGGGTCAAATTCTTTGAGTTGGGTTCAGGGTTTGGGTCTTGAGGAAGGAGTGGTGTGAGGGGGAAGGGAGAGGGAGTTTGGGGGGGGGGGGTAGAGGGGAAAGGTGAGAGGGCGGGGTTGAAGGTGGTGGTGGTGGTGGAGAGGGGGGTTCAGGGGGAGATGCGGACTCCTCTCTCTCACGCTCATCACACAGTTTGTATGTGTCCGTGTGTGTGTGTGTCCCCTCTAGATCGACTCAGCCTTAAATAAGTATTGTACCTGGTGCAGTGGGCAAACATCCCCCGGTCGTGGTTCCGGCAAGCACCTCGCCGTCATGTGCCGTTCCGACATTTGATCGGTGCTCGCTAACAGCACTTGCCTCATTAGTATATTAAAGGCTACACGGAGGACATTTGTGCAAGCATGCACCGTGAAGGTGGGCAGCATTTATATAAACGTTTATTTTGCAATAAACTAATATTTAAGCGAATACCACCTCTCTGTATGAATGGGTGCCACGGTGGGCAGACGTGAACTCCCTCGTCTCGTATGCAGGAGGTCGTGGCTTCGATCGCGACCCTGACGCCTGCTGTATATTTGGAGTTTGCATGTTCTCCCCCATGGTTACGTGGATTTTTCTCCGGGTCCTCCAGTTTTTCACTGCACATTGAGAAACATCATGCGTTTAGAGTGTTTGGCTGTGAAATATTTCCTCTTCGTTGAGCTATCATTTGTGGCCAGGTCGCTTCTTAAAAAGAGCTACATATATCACTGGGCCTAATCTGGTTAAATAAAAAGTTTCGTTTAGATATTATAACTTATTATTCTTGTTTTAAGTTTGATTGAATATGTAAATGTGTGCATGATCACGCATTATAATATTTTGCTGTCGTAGTGGATTGTTTATAATAAATCAACACAATAATGAATGAACGGACTAAAGTTGTGTTTCACCACGGAACTATTAAAGTTAACTCGCATTTTTTGGATCAAATGTTCGTCAGTCGGATTTGATTAAGCAGGCAACTCTGGAGCCATTCCGATATTCCGAGTTTCATCAGCTGAGCCAGGCCAGCTCGTTGTTACCAAACAACTCAACCCATTATTTTGGTCCCAAGAGCTGAAACTTACCAGGTTCAGAGAAAACATCCGCAAAAATACGTTACGTACTTTTTGATTATTTTATTTTTCCCTTCTACGTGACTTTATCGAAAGAACCAAGAATATGAATCCTTGCAGTCACGAAAGCTTTAAATCAAAATTTAAAACGTTACGTACTTCTTACACACTTCAATAACTTAGGTGAAGCCATGCCCTCGCTACATTTGAGAACCTCATTTAATCACGAGCGGCTGAAACTCCGATTCGAAGTCAGGTTCTCAGCGGTGCCAGCTTAGCGCTTTGAAACTTTGTTAACCCCCACCCAGGCACCCACCCAGCCACCCAGAGACCCACCCATCCAGCCACCCAGGCACCCACCCATACACTCAGCCAGCCACCCACCAAGCCACCCACCCAGCACCCACTCATCCATCCACCCACCCAGCACCCACCCAGCCACTCAATCAGCCACCTCATTGTAAATGTATTAAGTAGAATAAGAACCTGCATAGAGAAAGGGATGAATCTGTATTCACTTTTTCATCCCTTTGTAAATCCACTGCTGGATGATGGCATCTCCATTCAGGAGTTCGTGGGTTCGATCCGGAGTCTGATGCCTGTATATGTGGAGTCTGCAAGTTCTCCCCGTGATCACGTGGCTTTGTCTCCGGGTCCTCCGGGTTTTCCCTTCACATTCAGAAACGCGCGTTTAGAATATTTGGCTGTTTTATATTTCCACGCGATAAGCCAATTCGTTAAGCGATCATTTATGGCCATGCCGCTTCTGGAAAAGAATCTATATAGCTCAGTGGGCCTTACCTGGTAAAATTTTAAAAAAGTTTCGTAGTTTAGTTTGTATTGGTCGTGGACGTTGTTTGACCACACTTATCCGGGCCGGTTACTGCGGGTTGGTGAAGGCATGCACCATAAAACCAGTTCAGATATCACTCTCCAATGATGTTAACCGTGGCCGATAATATAATCGAACTTGTGTCTCCGGATTCGGAGCACGGCTTTTGCTGCTCGATCCAAATTCAAGTAGTTCGTCTCGCAGGAGAGGATATTTAACATAATAAAGCACGCGTGCAGGCGAGAAACAGACGACTAAGCACTTACATAATTGTTTAAGACACAAAACGCTGGACCAATTATAGGCTTTTGTCAACATTGCCTAACAGCTCTACACACTGCTGATGAGACCCAGAAAATGGAGTGACGAGGTCAGCTCGTGTGCAGGTTCTGGATGGATCGTTACATCGCCAGACTGTGAGATATGATGATGGCTTAGGGAGGTCTACATCTATCAGTGGCATAACCATGACTATTCTTGGTTCTTTCGGTAAAGTCACGTAGAAGGGAAACAATAAAATGATAAAAATATATGTAAAAAATTATTGCTGTGGTTTTCACACCTGATGATGATTGCTTGTGTTGCAGTCGAAATGTCGTGAGAATTTTATTTTTAAAAAATTTTTTGCTGTGGTTTTCACACCTGATGATGATTGCTTGTGTTGTAGTCGAAACGTCGTGAGAATTTTATTGTTTTATATTTTTATTATTTTATTGTTTCCCTTCTACGTGACTTTACCGAAAGAACCAAGAATATGAATCCCTGCAGACACGAAAGCTTTAAATCAAAATATAACCATGACTGTTCATGATAATGAGACAGTTTCCACGTCTGCGTAAAGGAGGTCGTAAAAAAAAGCCTGGAGGTAAAAAACATCTTTTGAGACGACTTTACGAGTTCGTTTGAGCCTATTTGAATACCGAATATAAAACAGTAAATATACTGTAGAGATTGCTAAAATTATCTCCAACAATGCGAACACTGGATAATGAAGCTACTGAGCTCCTGAAATAAATAACTTAGATTGTGGATTGGGTGGGATTTTCAACATTGGGTCTATTTGGTTGTGAAGTTATTTGTTCAAGTTTAAATTTATGAGAATATTGTAGAGCTTCCTGGTGGGGCAATAATTCAGTCGCAATTATAGTCACCAGTAATAAATAATTAACCTTTAGGGAGAGTTCCCACGATTGGCTCCAAAAACAGAACTATCATGTGGTACATCAGAGTAAGGGATTGGTTTCCTGGAATAATGATGTTTAACACAATTGCATCAAGGCATCGCAGTTTATAGATGGTGCAAAGGAAATATTGTTTTGAACATAGAATCAGAATATGTATTTATATTGGAGGGATCCGATGAGCTATGAAGCTCTTTTTACATGCTTTGTTTTAACTTACTCTGTTGTATCCTCAAATTTTGTAACTCAATTTTAACCCACTTCCCAATGTGGTATCGACTGCAAACTTGGTATACTTATGTCATACTGATGATAATACTATATTCTATCATAAAAAAATAAAACATCTATATTTAAAAAAATAATGTTCTTTATGTTATGTTTTGGCTTGGGTTGTATTGTCCACGCTCAACTGACGTTGGCTGTAATTGGCCACGGTCCCCTTACGTTGTGGCAAGCTTCGGGGCCACTTCCTGGAGTCGTGGAGTTCTGCCATTACTAGCACATTTCATAAAAGCGTGTTTTAAAAAAAGTATTTTAAAATATTAATTATTTCACAAATGTGCAGTAGTTTCCACAGATGTCCAGTCGATTGCAACTACCATCGCCTCTTTTCGCTGGTTCAACTTTGAAGAGACTGCAGTGATTGATTGCTAAAGTACAATCCTTCCTGTTTGAAGCCAGCCGTGTCTCAGAAAGGCGGAGGATATCAGCACAAAAGTTAGTTTAACACGGAGGCTTTCGCGACCAATATTATTCATAATAAAGGTTTTTGCGTTAGATCGCACAAGTATAAATGTGTCGAAATCCTCCACCACCCTACACAGCCAATTAGTAAGGGCTTTATCACGTAAACAACACGCCAATTAGTTACAACTTCAGCCCACCGGTGTGTTGGAGAGTGAATCCACAACATTTACTATTTGAGTCTGACGTTTCGCTGGTAATTACATCCAGCATCATCGGGCGATTTGCCAGAATAGTGAAGCCATCCACCTGCTTCTCGGTCTTAAATAGAGCAAGACGACACAAGTTGTTGAGTTCTATCTCGATGCCCTCGAATTTCTGGGAGAGACCCCTGATGTTGGCACGAACTAGGCCAAAGCCCTTTGCTACGAACGAGCACCTAGGAGTCATTACAGCCACAGTCATTCCTCGTTACACGGCAACTCACGGATTGTCGCGATAATGTAACTTATGAATTAAGGAACGAGTTCGATATATACGTTACGTTAAATGAGTGTTCTTGGAATTTTGAATCGAAATTAAAGATTTTTTTGGACGTGGGGGTATATCTGTCGCTTGTCCCTAGCGTGCGTTCCACGCTTCTCCTAGGTGTGTTTTGCGCGGTGCACGTTTCACATTGTGACGGTTTAACCACGCTGCTCACGCTGTATTATTATTATTAAAAGTATCGTTATGAATATGTTATCATAAAATTAGCGATTGTATATTGAATGTGTGCTTAAAAAATATTTGCCGCATTCTTACGTGTGATTTTATGACGTCTCGAGGTGGAATTTTGGTTCCATAAGAACGCATCTGCAATTATATAACGGTAGTCCGTGGCGAAAATAGGGTTCAATATTCAGACTATCGCTTTGTTACAGGAACGTATCTGTTCCGTATATCGAGGGATACCCCATTTGGTTTGGAATCGGTGGACGATATAAAAGGGTTATAAGCTATTCCTTATCAGAGGGAAAGTAACTAAATAAAAAAGAAAAACATGCTGTCATATTTTTTGAAAAGTAAGAGGCCACGTTTCCTCCTATTCTTAT